TCACTGGCATTGACAACTTGTTTATCACCATTGACAACCCTTTCACCAACCATTGACAATCTTTTCACCACCAGTGACAACCATTTCACCGGCATTGACAACCTGTTTATCACCATTGACAACCCATTCACCATCATTGACAACTCATTCACCACCATTGACAACCCATTCACCACAATGACAACCCATTCACCACTATTGACAACCCATTCACCACCATTGACAACCCATTCACCATCATTGACAACTCATTCACCACCAATGACAACCCTTTCACCACCAATGACAACCCATTCACCACCATTGACAACCCATTCACCACCAATGACAACCCATTCACCACCATTGACAATCCTTTCTCAACCATATCACCACTGTTATTAAATTCATTTCCACTATCAATGAATATACAAGCGACAAGTTTTCAAAAGTTTCGCTATATTTCTGGTTTGGTACAGTCCATGGTGGTGAATACGCAGACATCGATATTACAATACCACAGGGACTTCAAAGTAGACATACCTGGTACCTGATACCAAAAACTTTAGATTTGAAAGTTTGTTTCTACAATTTTTTTTTTTAAATAATCTCACTTTGACACTGACAAATTTTCTCTGATAAGGATTTTTCAAAAAGAATTTTTTTGTATCGCCATGCATACATATCCTTGTAGATATTGTGCTGCCAATAAAATGCAGGCAACTCTGTGACCAAGATGGTGAATTAATTTGTGACGAAGGATAACAGGACCAACATTTAAAATTATACAGAATTATTTTACATCAACTGTTTTTTGTGTTAATTTGCATACAGAGATGCATAAATAATATATGAACTTAAAATAGTATGCAAATTAGATAATTAACATATTCATATTCGGCACTTGTGCATTTCACATTTGTATATTAATATCATTGTGGCAACTGTAAAATGCGTTAGTCACGGTGGATAACTGACATGTTGGCAGCAAAAATAAGCAACACTTTGCACATTAACTACCAAAGTTCATTTGAATTTATTTATACAGTTTAGTTGAGTTAATTCACTTTGCCACCATCCAAAAAATTTATGTTATTTTGTGAAAAGGTACAAAAATTGACTTTGGTGTTCAAAGCTAAAACTCTTTTTTGTTGTTGTTGTTGATGATGTATATATTCACAAAGCCTGTATAAGAGCTTGTGTGTAAATATTATCAGGAATGGCATATATACTCTTCGATCAAGTGGTTACATGAGCATAAAGGTTGGGGGGGGGGGGTAATTCAACACGGTCAGAAGAAAATTTACACCTATAACGGTAAAGTTAGTATCTAACGTTGAGGGCGGTTATTTGCCGCAAATGAAATAGGTAGAAACATTCAAAGTAAAGCTAGGTTGTAGTAATTTGTTTTTGACTGGACGGAAAATATTCATGCTGAACAGAAGCAGCTGGAATGATGTTTGTTTCTGGACCGTAATGGTTTATGTGATTATCGACATTTCCTTTGAGTCAGCCAATCAATTGGCCAGCAGAGGAAATTAAGCTCATGAATAATTCAAGATAATTACTGCACTTAAGAAAACTTTATTGTGAAGAAAGCTTTTACCGCCGCTGCCTGTCTTTTTTGTGGTCATCGCTTGCTTTGTTTCCTCGAGGCGTACACAAAATCTGTTTCAGGATTACTTCAGCGGATCAAGGAGAGAGGACACGGGCAAGGATTAGTTCGTCGTTACGCTATATACGTTTAAGATAGCGATACTGAGAGTAAGTCTACATTGACGCGTGCTAAGCGCACTGCCCGGTGTGCTATCAAAAGTCCTGGTTTTGACGGAGTTAACGCTGCAAACAAGTGAGTGCATCTGATTCCACATTAGATAGTAATTTTATATGCAAATGAAAACACGTTCATTTTAACAGTTGGTTTGCGATGGCATTTGGTGCAGTTCCCGGGTTCCGCGGGGTTGTTCACACTGAGAAAGTAAAATTTGAAGTTTGCTTGTAATACTGAAAACGTATTGTGCTGGATTGTTTATATCTCGCCACACGCAATGATGATTCATGCATGGCACCAGTAAAAGATGGTTTACAGACATGCATACATTCATCAACCTAGTGAATAACAGTCTCTTTTGTCAGTAATAACCACCGTGGGTGTACTGCACCAGGAACGTGGCGCCTATTTGGCCCGCGGCGGTTTTGATGGGATTCGCGAGAGAAGCCATACGAAATCACAAGTAATCCAGTAATCTTTTGGATATATGTATTTTCGTTTATGTTCATGGCATTACACCAAGTGGACTTTACTATGTGTTTTGATCTCGCTGTAGTATAGCCATAACTTACCAGACCCTCCCCCTCCGACTGTACGGTAAATGAGGCAGGAAGTGGCCACCGAGTGTCGGTTCTCAGCGTTGTTTTGTTATTCGATCAGCCTTTTAGTTGGGTGGGCCGTGAAATCGACATTCCATCTTGAATTGCAAAATAAGTAGGCCAACAACGGGACATCGTTTGGAGTAGAGAATTTACAGAGTTGACTCGCTACAGCTTCTCAAAATGCCACCGCTATATTATTCTGTTATGGATGTTTTGATGTAATCGGCGTAATCATCCCACTATGAAATCTAAACTCGTCAAATGTTTCTTGCTTTGTTATAAACAAATTTTAAGCAATGATATTAAATTTACACTAGTAGCTTCCGTAATGATGGTATCCATTCAACCGGATACAGTTCAGTTATACAGCACTAGTATTTTCATATTTCACCACTGTATGTGTGGTCCAGGAGAAGTTGAATTCAGGGTCTGATGGAAATGACAGTTTTACTAAAGAATCTAGGCGCTACATTGTGACGAATAAATAAATTAGACAGACTTCCTGTTTATATCAGTTACATTCTAATGGCCAGTCATTGTACTTATCATATTAATCACTCTATGTTGACACACTGTGTGTATGTATGATGAGAAGTGTGATTGATTGGTTTAAGAATCAGAATAACATGGCCTGGAATATTCCAATTTTGATTCATTGTCCAGTTAACTCCTCTGTAAATCTACCAGTAATGCTACATAGAAGTACAATACTAGTACAGTGTAGTCTGAATGCTATAGATGAGTGGTGAAATTATTAAAGTCCCAACTCAGTTGCCCAGGGAAGATTATTTATTGGAAGTGTGGCTATGCTAATGAGTGTTGTTAATCAATGATTACAGGAACCCTCGTTTATTTACAAGCTAATAAGCTGACATGTCAATGTGTATAACTGCCTGGTCAGACTTGCTTTCATAGGGCATGGATCCGTTGACATAATGACAAAACTAATAATGGGGCTTATAAGAAATGCATTACATATCATTTCCATTTGCCATCCTCGTAAGACGATGACCAGTAAGAAATGCACACTTAGGGTGCTGCCATGCTTAGGGTGCTGCCATGCTTAGGGTGCTGCCATGCTTAGGGTGCTGCCACGCTTAGGGTGCTGCCACGCTTAGGGTGCTGCCACGCTTAGGGTGCTGCCACGCTTAGGGTGCTGCCACGCTTAGGGTGCTGCCACGCTTAGGGTGCTGCCATGCTTAGGGTGCTGCCATGCTTAGGGTGCTGCCATGCTTAGGGTGCTGCCATGCTTAGGGTGCTGCCACGCTCTTCAGTAAACAGTAAGCATATGCATGTATTTCTATTTCACTACGGGAAACAGCATTGTTTGTTTTTCTCTAACACAAGACAAAAAATTGTGGTCATGATAAATTGTGAATATTTTGGCAATTGTTGAAATACTCTCATTTCGGTCTAGTACATGTTTGGGTTCGTATAGAGAAAATAAACATTTGTGTTATCAAAGCAAAAAGGTGCTGTCCTCGCCTTAAAGCACGGCTTCTCAATCCCAGGGATTGCACCAATGCATCATGGAAAATGTAATTTGCATGTACCACCCAGTTGTTTACTTGGTACATCATTTCAACTGAAGGTGTTAATTTTGTAAGCTAACATCATGCATTATGCAATTATACCTTTTTTTTACACCATGTTGTTGGTCAACATTCATTTCATTGCGGGGATATATTTCAGGGAACATAACATTTTTTGTGGGATCTTTCAATTTATTTATTTCAAAACACATTTGTACTTTTTAAATTGTCAAGGACGTCATATATTAAATTCGAGAAGCATTCTCGACATATTGTTGACGAGCCCCTTGAACGAACCCTGCTATTATCATGACCAACCAGGCCCGTCACATCGCCACAGCTTGGTTAGTCTTGTCATCGCCAATGGGATGAAAACCATTTTCCCTTCTCGTAACTGATCTGTTTGCACTGGAAAAATAAGTATCGAGCAAGTTTACAAGCCCTGTAACCATGAAAGTCTTTTTTTGTACACATACACTAAGAAAGTTATTGGAATGTTTACGCACAGTCCCTCCCTTCTCGTGCACACCTTAGATCAAGCCATCTGCACTCGCTCAGGCCGGATCATTTCATGAACTTGTAAATTGTCTTAACTTGTAAAGATTAGGAGTTGGTTGAGATGGGAATCAGAAAGTATCACCACTGGAAGGATTCAACAATGATGTGGGTTAGATACACACACTCTGAAGATAACAGTAAACAATACTAAACACAGTATTAATGTCATTGAAAACTAGATGAATTTCTGGCTTGTACTTTCTGTGGCGACATTATTGTTTTGGGAATATGAATCTCATTCTTCTTTGAATCCGCTATGTGATAATAAGGAACTACAATGTATGTAAATGTTTGTGAAGATTAGATGATGCACCCTGTTTCAGCGGTTCAATGTCATGTGACATTTACTTTTATTTGCTGGAATCTCAACTCTTACACTACTAGTATTTATTGTCATAAATATAATATATAATCACTGCTATGGTATTCATGGTCACATACAACCACTTTGGTACAACATAATTGACCTGTAAGTTGATTTTACATGATTTTACCGGAAATTGGCGTTTTTAGATTATACCACCAATCATGACACATTAGTATCGATAGACAACCAATCACAACATGTACAGTGGCACTGGTAGACCACCAATCACAACACAGTGGCACTGGTAGGCCACCGATCACAACACAGTGGCACTGGTAGGCCACCAATCACAACACAGTAGCACTGGTAGATCACCAATCACAACACAGTAGCACTGGTAGACCACCAATCACAACACAGTGGCACTGGTAGACCACCAATCACAACACAGTGGCACTGGTAGGCCACCAATCACAACACAGTGGCACTGGTAGACCACCAATCACAACATTTACAGTGGCACTGGTATACCACCAATCACAACACAGTGGCACTGGTAGACCACCAATCACAACACAGTAGCACTGGTAGACCACCAATCACAACACAGTA